AAAGTGCTGTAGTGGTGCAGCGCTACGCTATAAGGCCATATGTCAGCTTGTTGCGCTGCTCCTAAGTGACCCAAAAAATACCGGTTTGATAAATTTAGTTTATACTGTACTCACATTGTGTATATCTTGAATAAAGTTGTATTTATTAATGACTGACTTCATTATAGAGCTTGGAGGTGATTGGATTCATAGTGATAATGGGAGGGTGTGTGTGTGTGTGTGTGTGTGAGCCCAACAGCCCCGGGGCCAACTAACAGGTTAATCCAGCCATCCCTTGCGCTCTCATGAGCTATAACAGAGATATTGCTTTCACACTGATATATGGACTGCTCCACGGCCATATATTTTCCCAGTGAGGTCCACTGCAGTCATAGCTGCTGCACCTGTGAGAAAGAAAACACTGTGGCTGTGAAAAGAATGTGAATATCTTGAAATGAATTTAAAACAGATACAATAGTAGCGCCTAAAAAATACATTTAATTTGGAAGCTAATCAGTGCACCACATGCATCAGGTGCTGTTTTAGCATAGCATTTGTCTGCACTGTTACTGGCAAAACCAGCTGTTGTTAGGGGTAAAGGAAGTCTTGTGGTGTATTTTGCTTTCTCACCCATTAGTAACTCTTATGTGTGACACTGTAGGAAATTTCAAAGCCCACTCTGATGCTCTATTAACAGAGCCTTTACCATACACCGACTACTGCAGAGGTACTTTGTATTTGAACAGTATATCAGTCACTCAATGGTCATGCGGTTTCACAGAATAGAAAGGGGATGTACAGAGAGGTAAGGCTTCAGAGCATCTCTCACAACGGGCATGATACGGGGATTACCTATTATTAGAGTGGCCTAGTGGCTTAAGTTGCAAGCTAATCTGATGTCTGGTTGGACATGGTTACATGTTGGTGTCGGTTGTGCATGATTGTGTTCTTTTTACAGCTCACACTTCATACACTGCAAATACATACACAAACCTGGCTGGTGTGTAGAAAACGCACTTGTGCATTATTTTGCGTGATTTGATTCTGGACTCCTTTCACTCGTTTTATTTCATCGCATGATATTGTTATTTTATAGACGTTTTTTTTTATAAGAGCTAGTCATTGTATATAAGCAGCGTTTTGTGGTAAAGACAACACCCGGAGAGGTGTGCCCGATGTGGATATGACGGTGCGTTCAGGTAGTGTGGTAAAGTCAAAGGTTTTTGATTTTACCTGGGTGTACCTCACTGACCAAGTGACCATTGATGAAAGTGGCGAGGTCAATCTAATTTGAGAGTATTCATGATTTGCGACGTGTAACTGTATTTTGCCACAGAGAACGAATTAATTTAATCATGTATGAAACACTATATTGTATTATCTATTTCAGAATAGCAGCGATTATGTGTTTATATACGCTATACAAACGTGGCGTACTAAATTAAACTTGGAAATAATATTTTGTACGTCTGTGAAATTGGATTTTATGTACATTAACACGCATTATGTTACGTTATAAATATAATCTGGTTACGGAAGTCTCTTTTATAATTGTACATCGAACGCCTCATGAGTGCACACCTCCTCCACATGATCCCGTAACTCTATCCAGGCCTGTGATTGGCTGTTGTAACGACTACCACGGTACCGATTGGTTGCGAAACGCAGCTGGGAAACAGGAAGCTATAAAAAAAAAAAAAAATCTTGTCAACTAAAGTGGACGTAAGCGTCTGCCTCACATTTTCTCGTGTTCTTCAGACTAACTAACCAACTAATTGGTCGTATCTAGCCGCGACTGAGAGACCAAAATGGGCTGCTTCTTCTCGAAAAAATCCAAAAGAAAGTCCTCCGAAAAAGAGGATCTTACGCCGACAACGACGACTGTCGAAACTACGACGACAAGCAACGCGGTTCCCCTTGGCAACAACACCGACGAGCCACCGAAGCAGTACAGCTGGGATAAGAGAGAAAAGGTACCGCAGGGGACTCGTGAAGTGACACAATAAAATAAACTCCTACCTGGTGGCAAGTGGAGCTCTTAACTGGCGACACCTGACTGATAAACGTGTTTTATTTGTATTTTCGCTAACGTTACTGTCTCCAAGAGGTGCAGCGAGCTATACTGACACCCTTTGATTTAATGACTGAAGATGTAGCTGAGGTTTGTGTAACATGAACGTAAATGTGTAGCTGCCCTCTTCGACGTGTCTGTCTGTGACTGTCTGTGTGTGTGAGTGACCCTGTTGCACCAACCAGTCACGTTACCTTATGTGGATATTTGTATTTCTAACCTGGTTTCCTGAGTGCTACAGCTGCACAGCCAGGTCCACCTGCACTGTTTACTAACTTAGCTGGGATTCATTGCGCAGCAGCCATTTATCCTGTAACACAGTCGAGAAATATTCAGCTTTCCACGTTACCTGTTACCTAAGGACCCAGGATGCACGCAGGGCTCTTTATACGTTGAAACCAGCGGAGTTTGAGGTTCACCGCCTCGTCCTCTCTTTCTCTCGGTCACTAAATGTGTCCGGCGTTATCTCATTATAGGATTACAACACCGTGTAGTTCACTGTTACACGACTGACCGCCTTTAACTTGTGCAGACATTACAGGCGTTAACCAAGCGGTGGTTCAACTTCCGTTTTGACTCATGGGATGTTTCACTAAAATTAGTAGACCAAAAAACACACAAAAACACGCAGTATCCGGTTGTGGAGTCTGAAAGTACCCACCTAAAAGTAAACTAGTTATACATTTCCTTCACGCACGCAAAACTAATGTTAGTGAGACATTAAATATAGATACCATTGTATACTTGGTATGAGCATGTCTAAAAGGTGGATCTCTGATGCTCTACACCAAAGTGCGGCTCTTACAGTGAGATACTAGTGGGGTTTATAAGAAGTAGTTTGGTGCGTCTCTAAATGTGTTCAAACACTCATCCGGTCACCTTTCTCTTCGCACAGGTTGATCCGAAAGACTACATGCTGACCGGGCTCAGAGACGTCACGGTGGGCCGCCTGTCTGGCAAACTGAACGGGCAACAGTTTGTCATCCAAGAGTGTGAGAACTGCAACATCTACGTGTTTGACCACTCTGCGACCATCACCATCGACGACTGCGTCAACTGCCGCGTTGTCCTCGGGCCTGTCAAGGGCAGTGTGTTTTTCAGAGACTGTAAAGACATCAAGTGCGTGGTGGCCTGTCAGCAGTTTCGCACACGGGACTGTAAAAAGATGGATGTGTTCTTGTGCTGCGCCACTCAGCCCATCATCGAGTCCTCTACGGGTATGAAGTTTGGCTGCTTTCAGTACTACTACCCCGAGCTGGCGTTTCACTTCAAGGACGCCGGGCTCAGCATCTTCAACAACAACTGGAGCAACATCCATGACTTCACACCCGTGTCTGGAGAGAACAACTGGAGCTTGTTGCCAGAGGCTTCAGCGGTCCTGGATTTTGTACCGGCTCCAGACTCAGAGTCTGAATTCAAGTCTGTTCGAGTCTCCTGTGACCCTTCACGCAGCATTGTGCCTTTGACAAAGGGAGGGAGACGCAAGGACAGTGAAGAGTCCTGCCTCTTTGTTTTCTTCGCTGGAGAGTACACCACTGCAAACGCCCGCAAAATGATTGATGAGGTGAGGGGAATTAAACGGACGGCAGCATGAGGTCACTTAGTTTAAAAAGTATTTTTATGATGGAAAGAGGGTGGTGGTAATGATGTGTCTTATCTTATTCATTGATCATACACTGCTCAGTTTGGGTGCAGTCGGTTTGCTTTAAAAGGATGCAGAATTAGTCGCAAGAAAAAGCAAACCCAGTGTTAACTCTCACTGCCTGCCCCATTTTATAGAAGGAACACTAATTAAAGTTAAACATTGAGGAACTCAAGCTTTAGCTTCACATTCGTTGCAGTAATGTGAAGCTGGTTATCAGCCAAATGAGCTGAGCTGCAGCGGGACGGAAGCTTATACTCTATTACCATTATTTCTTCTGAATATATAACTTGGAGTTTACAATGTTGACTTCTCCCTCTGAGGCTGTTCCACCTCTAGTGATAGTGCTTTATGGGATTCTTACATATTACTTAATTGTTACATAAACACATTTTAAATCTTTTTATATGCTTAGTGTTCCTATTTCAGTTTTTTGTTTTACGCTCTTTGTTTAGCTGACTTTGAACTTTAAGACTGATGTATCTGAAATGTTTTGCTACTTAAGCATTCCAGTTGTGTTTGTGTTGTTGCCAGTATATGTATGACTCTGTCACATAAGCATGAGACCAGATGTTGTTGTAAGACTTTACTCTTTACAGTTTATCTGTGGGTGTGTTTGTTTGTGTGTGTGGAGGATTTGTTAAGTAGTTTGTGGTTTGCTGCAAATTTATTGTGTAACTTTTTCCATCTCATTTTCACAGGCAACAGCTAAAGGTTTCGTGCTGATCCAGACTAAGGAAGTGTCGATGCGACCTGAAGACGTGAAGAGAGTGTTTCAGAACAGTGCAGAGGAACTCGTGGAGTGGATCACCAAAGGTAGTTTCTCTTTTTTGCTTTGTTGTTCCGGCTCCAAAGTATTTCTAAAATATCAGCCGCTCAGGAACTCAGCGAGGTTTGTTAGATCTTATCTGACAAACCTATAGTTACATATTTGCATTTGCAGTAATGAGAGTATCAGGTTGTGTTGTAGATACTATAGCAGAGCAGAGTGAAACAAGCGCTGTGTGTTTTAAAACAAGGGTCTGTTTGTAGTGTTTTCTAGCGTTCATATCAAAAACTCAGCTCTGTTTCTTTTGGATTCCTTCTTCCACACAAATGCTTGAAAGCAACTTTACTCCCTCTCAGACTTCATGCTGTTTTTCAGAAGCTAAAAAATGACTTGGTCAACATATTAATATGATTTTATTATGACAACATTGCTGACTGCTGGTTCTCCAGAGCCAAACTGAAACCCAGAAATCAACTGAATCAGCACTCAGACTTGGTTGTCAATATCGGAGTGTGTCACAATCTTTTTCAGTAGAAAGCACTTACTGTTTTATAACCAAATTGCGTAAGAACATTTTGCATTGAAGGAAACCTGTATTTAGCTGTTGTATGTTGGAAATTACCAATGTAGTTTGGACTGTTATGATACCGATGCCAGTATTGTAAACTCCTCCGACGCTGCCTACAATGGTGTTTGTCTGTGCCCCCCAGTCCAATGTTGTATGTAATTTATTAGCCCTGAAATTGGACCTGCTGTTTGGTAATGGTGTCGGGACATCTCTAGTTTGGACTGCTGTTGTACTGTAGGATTGTGACTTTCATGTGTTACTCCTAAAGGACCTGTCATTGCCCTCGAGCTGAACGGTGACGGAGTCGTGGAAGCCTGCAAGAACATCGCTAATGAAGTGTTCAGTGGGACCAAGGTAATTTCACTGTAGTTGTGGCCTTTTCTAGTTCGATACAGATCAGTTCTCTATTTCAAGCAAAACATTAAATATTTTTGTTTTTTTTTATTCAACAGATTTTTGTCTCTGATAACAAGAATACATCCTCTCGAGACGTGGACAGCTTCTTCAACTTTGCTGACATGCAGATGGGATTGTGAATGAGTATGAAGTGCTTGTCAGACATGGAATCTGATTTCCTTAATTCCCCGCTGTACAGCTCAGTTTGAATATGAGTAGCGTTTGATTATTTGCCTGTTTTCATTCTCAAAAACTAGGTAGGACACAAAACTATTAAGGACTGTATTTGATAAGGCCTTGGATTCAACAATTTATCAACCATGCAGTCTGCAGACTAAAATCCAAACACATTCGCTGTAAATCACTTAACATCCACTAGTTGCTAAGAGTGCTGTGAATATTTATATTTCTATGAATGTATTTGTAAATTCTGTTGCTTTCATCAATTGTGAATGTAGCTCTTTGCTGTCAGTGTATTTCATTTTTATTTAAAGATTTGTTTTTCTTTTCCGTCTGAAACCGTCGTTGCAGTGAAAAAACCATGAGCACAAGAATGCCTGAGGGAGAATATTTTATATATATATATAAATCATATTTTTATTTCTTATGAAGATTTATTTGTGTATGTGGTTTAGATAATGGACTTGTTTAAAACTTGTATATTTGAGAAATGCTGTGTAGACCATAACTACATCTTTATTGATATCTGTTAGGCCAAAGTTCATTTGTGAAAGTGTATTTTGCTGTTAATCCAGATTAACTGATCTGTTTACATTAAGTAGTGTAAACACTTGCTGGGTTTTAGATGTAGGCAACTCGTGTGATCATTTTTTTAAATTTGTAATATTTGTTTTATACTCTAATGAATGTTTTTGTATAGACAAATTCATGTTCTTTATTGTAATTTTTTAGTAAAAGTTTCATTACACGTGACTTAATTTTGTTATGAGGCTTTTCACAAGCGAGATGACTGAAACAAAGCAGTGTGTTACTGTGATCTAGGTTATATGGTGACAGACGTGAGCCAGTGCAGGTAACAACAGTCTATAATCACAATATCATTATAATCCGTCCTCCTGAGTAAGTGTACTTTTAGTTCTGCTCACTATCATCAGCGCAAAGCCACTTGGTTGACATTTACAAAAGAAAAAGACAACGAACATTCTGTTTGTAACCTGATAATAGCGTCCTTTTTAAAAAAAAATAAAGAACTTCTAAGTTTTATTTGAGCAGTTTAACATTTGTGAACTAGTTGTAAATGTAAATACTCATTTCTGCCTGTGTGTATTTTGTCTTAAGCTGCTAAAAGGTTATGAATATCACCATCCAATTAGTTGTGGATTTATTATTCCAGTGATTGCCTGAAGCATGGGTTCAAGTCTTCCTCTGTGCCAGTTTGCAGCTTTCACTTCAGCTATTTGACTTCCACACAGCATTTTCATCATTTGACTCACTATTGATTGTTCCTGTCAATGGCTATCAGCTTGACCTCACCCAGTCTGTGTTGGGGCCCGTCCTTTATACATTTATCAGTGATGACATGAGACACATTACAGATTTAGTTAAAGTTAAATATAGCCTGATATATCAAACTGGTTTGTACAGTTGCCTTTGAGTCAAAAAAATCCATAGGGAATTGTGATGTACTTTTGTATTTGTAAACCTTTTGTACTTGAGCATCCAGTTTTTGTAGAACAATTTGTCTTTATGAATGCACATTTGTCTGTAATTTGTTGTTTCTACTCTTGAACGACACCTGTCTTTATAACGATGGCAGAGTCCCATTAAAGCTGTAGAATATCTGACGGCACACTGGTAGCTGGCTGGTTATTTAATATCAATGCGTAATCATTATTGAGGACTGTGTTGTGGCGTATGAATGGAGGTCAACGCCAGGAGGCAAATCGAGCGCACCGAGGCTGGAGGGAAAGCGGCGGGGTTTAGGACCCGGCGGGACGCGCGGTACAATAGAGCTGTTGTGCCGTCCGTGGTGGTGGACAGATTGCAACCCTGGAGATTCCCACTGGTGGGATACAGAAAAAAAACTCCATTTAATCTACAGCGAGAACCGGAGCCTCTGTTTTTATCGGTGTGTGCTGGAAGTTTGGTGTGGACGGAGAAGTGGAGTGAAGCGGGAAGCCGAGCGCCGAGCGGAGGTAAGAGGGGAGGAATGTGAACAATATGCTCGTGTGTTCAGTGGGGCTCGGTGTGCCAGGATTTGCCCTGGATGTGCTATCCAGGCCACGGGGCCTGCTCCTTCTCTGCCTCTACAGGACTCTTTCTGCTCCTTTACCACGTTCATGTTGGCGACTGTCGGGCAGCCGTGTGTGTGACTCCTCGCTGCCCCCGGCAGTGAACAGTAAACCCAGTTCAGCGGTGTGAATAGTCGTCTTAATGGCTCTAGGAAGTGACATCTTTGTACGATGGTGGCGCCCATGTTTGATTTCTCCACAGCCTGCAGTGCAGCCCGCTACAGGCCTGTGTGTGTGTGTGTGTGTGTGTGTGTGTGTTTGTGTGTTTGGCGCCAACC